CGAACTGGTCGGCAGGTTTCCTCCTTCCTCTACTGCCCCACTGCTGCACTGTCCCTTCCCCGCCGCACTTCTCTGCTGCGTTGCGCCGCCAGCCCCCTGTTGACGACTGCATCGTGACTGTTCTGCGACTGTGTCGTGGCTGTGTGGCCGTGTGGCTGTGCGATCCACCTTCGCTTCTGTTGAGGCGGTCGCTTGGACGGACGCTCGCTGGGGCATCCTCATTTCCATCCTCCCCCGTATCCCTTCCCTTCCCCTCCCCGACCAATGTAGATGGGGCAGTGTAGTTAGCATTCGTTTTGGATGATGGGCGGCGGAAGAGCCAAGAGCCACGCTGTTCTTATCCAGCACGTTGAACGTCATGAACCTGGGCGCTGCAGTTCAGCACCATTTGTCCCATCCCGTGCCCTAGAGCAGGATTTACCCGCAGTTGGGTCTCTCCCCCGACATCCGACCTGACGGTTTCTTCGAGACGTAAACCCCTCAGATTCTCGACGTTTCCCCCGAGATTGGTATGTCATTCCGGGGCCGTTTCTTGACAGACCAGGGGCCCCGAACGGGCCTTCGTCGGAGTCCAGGGCGTAGAGACACCGGCCGTTGTGATTGCTCCTCGACGCTGGGAAGTCTTCGGAGGACGGGACCTCCGCTCCACTTGTGCGCGACACGTACCATTGCCGCCACCGCGTGGACAAGGGGTGCCAGAGGTGGGTGGCGCCTCCGACAGTGCTTGAAAGTGCAGGGCCCGGCCAATGCGTCCTGACGACGTGCAGCTTCCTCGGAAGAGCGTGGCTGTCCCAGAGAGACGGGCCCTGAAGCAAGCCGGCGGGCGCAGCGTGCGCAAGGGATAACCCCGCACCAGAGTCAGGAGGGGAAAAAACACACAGACACAATTAATCGTCGATTCTCCAGAAAATATAGGAAAATATGGGCAGTGGGGGGGCAGACAGAAACCCAGAAAATATTGGAAAATACAGGGAATGCTGTTATTCGTGTGTATTTATTTGTGTGTCCCAGGGCCCCTTCAGGGATAACCCCGCACCAGAGGTATGGGGCCTGTCGCCTCCCCCCCGGGGGCCTCGCGCCCTGTCCCCCGCCCTCGCTCCAGCCGCCTGCGCCCGCGCAGCGCGCCTCCCCCGCCTGCAGCCGCGCAGCCGGCCCGCGCTTTGGGCGGGGGCGGGACACTAAGCCGGGGCGACCAGCCAGGCGCGGAGGAGGGAGGAGGAAGGGTGAGCGGGGAGGGAGGAGGGAGGAGGAGGAGGAGGAGGAGGAGGAGGAGGAGGAGGAGGAGGAGGAGGAGGAGGGACGGAGGGACGGAGGGCGGGACGGAGGGACAGGGACAGGGACGCAGGGAGGAGGAGGAGGGGGAGGAGGAAGTTCTGCGCGGTTTTGCGATTATTCTGCATGCCCTTTCTCCAGTTGTTGGTAGGTCTCGGCGGTGAAATGTCAGCTGCTTCGGAGGATTCCGGAGACTTCCAGAAAGAGGGGGCAAAGGTTTGCGACAGTTTGCGGACCTACCCCTGCAGGTCTAGATGGCCAGTGGGGTGTCCCCCCTCCCCCACCCGCAAAAGCTCACATGGCCGCACGCATCGTCCAAGTCCTGAGCCCACACGGATTCCTCTGAAAAGACCCGTGGGGGTGCGTCCATCATGCGGCTGCGCAAAAGGTATGGCAAGGGGACGGGCTCGGGGGCTCGAAGTGCCGTTGGGAGGGATGGGAGGAGGCCGTGAGATCCGACGTTGCGACAAAAAATCAAGCATCGCGAAGACTCATTACTGGAGTCCTAGAACCCATCTTCCTGATGCATTTTTCGAGATGGATCGACCTTTGATGGCCTCGGGGATGCCCAGCAAAAATGTCCAGTGTGAAAAAACACTCACTGCCTGGTCTAAAGGGAAAAAAGGGTTGGGTCGTGAGAGGGAGAGCGGTCCTCCACAGGCACACGTTGGTCCCGACTGGTCCTGGTGCATGTGGCCTCCCGGCCGTGCCCGAGAGCCAGTGTATACACCAAGATTTGGGTCTGAAGTGGGCATGCGTAGGCCTGCTGGTGGTGTGCCCCTCGCTCGCTGAAAGTAGGTAGTTTGGGAGTCCAGAGTTCTAATACCTGCATGCTCGCGTCGTGAAAAAAAACTTGTGAGGTTTTTGGGCGGTTTCGACCTCCAGGGGCCCTCGCCTGTCCTCGGGACTATCAAACGACTCTGGATGAAAAGCCAGTCCCCGGGAAAAGATCCGGACTTCCAGGGGCCGCATATTGAAACAATCGGGACATCGCGCCTTCCTGGTTCAAGAGTCGGATATGGTCCCTTTCCTTCCTCTTCAGGGGGCGGGCGGAAATTCAATATACTTTCATCACCTTCCTGTTTCATGTCTCTACCCGCTTCCTGGGCCCTCTTAGGAAGCTTCCGGGGCGCTCTTCGAGACAAATGTGGCCGTTTTAGGATGTTTCTGAGCACCTCCTTGTGTTTTCGTAGGCCATCCTGGAGCCGTCTTGAGGCCTCAGAAGCCCATGGGAAGCGACAAGGCGACAAGTCCAAACCCATGGACGAACCAGCGGCTTGTTTGTTCTATGAGTCAGGCCTCTCACCATGGGGAGGCTCTGGGGCTACTTGGAGCCGACTGAGGGCCTCTTGGAAGCATGCCGCAGGATCTTGGAGGCCGTCGTGTCTGGCGTTGCATAAGGAGTGGGCGATGCCTGGGGGATGAAGAAAGGTGCGCCTGAGGGGCCCTACAGGGGCCCCACTGGGGCCCAAAAAGGGTACGGAAGGTGTACATTTCTTCCCCCCTCCCAAGTATCGTTCCCACACTGAGCAACGCTCGAATCTTGGGCTCGCTCGGGCCATCGTGGAGCCGCAGATTGGCCCGACGATACCCAGAGACGCGCGGGGGAGCTTGTCGCCCCTGCCGCCCCCCCCTGCCCCTCAAGCTATGTTGCGAAGGTCTTACGGCCAGCGTCGCCGACCCTGAAGGGGGACGACGACGACGACGACGACGGCGGCAACGACGACAAAAAACATTCTAACACGTAAGGAAACTCATAAGTTGTACCCTCTTGGGATTATCTTGGGAGTGCTCTTGGGGCTCTCTTAGGGGGCATCCTGGGAGCTTCTTGGGCGCCTCTTGGGGCCTCTTGGGAGCTCGACATGTTGCTTGGTGTTCCCCCTCTCTGAAGCCTCTTGGGGCTTTCTTGGGGCCCCACCCCCCTCCCCCCAAACTATGTACTTCAGCGCATGTTTTACGTGGGGCTCTCGCTTGAGACTTCTTCAATTGAAAGGCCAGAGCTTCGATCTTGTGTGCAACCCTTACACGGGCGGAGGGCGGATCCTTGTCACAACGGGGCGATCGTTGGACATTCATTCAAGTGGGATGTCGCATTCCACAGATTCATGATTCGTATAGCCCGAAGGGGAGGAGGGTGAAAACGGGGTCTCTCCTGAATGGCAGGGCCAGAGGACGCTCGCCACTCCAGGGGGGGGCGCCTCCCGCAGAGGAAAGTTGCGGGGGGACTTGGGACGGGAGGGTGTGGTGCAACACCGTTGGTGCATCCCTGGTTCACCTTGGGCCTCCTTCTCCTCGTCCCCTTCCTCTTCCCTGGCCATCTTCCAACTCATCCTCCTCCCCAACCCTTGCCCCTTGTCCTTCCATCCTTACTTTTCCGCCCGCCCTCTTCGATCCTCTCTCCTGTTGGTCACACTTCCTTCATCCTCCTCTCTCTCTGTCTCTCTGTCTGTGTCTCTCTCTTTCTCTCATCCCCCCCCCCCCTCCCCCTTGGCGGTGCGGGTCTCTGTGCGAGACATCAGCGACGTTTTCGAGACGGTCCAGAGGAGGCACGCAGAGTTTGGCCCACCCTCGGCCAGCTGGTGCCAGATGTAATTATCTGAACTGCGACGGCGAGGAGCTGGTTCTGGACATGGCCTTTTACTCCTACGTGGACGATGCGATTCGCAAGGTTTTGGCAGCGGACTCGGCATTTACCGAAGAGATTTCCAGATTGTCGCGGGCATCTGTTGTTGTCTGTCGAGCTTCACCGCCACGGTTACGCCCTCAACTCCACCAAGGGCGCTAGCCTTGTGTCTTTCTTGGAATTGGCATGCACTCGAGGAGGCGCGACATACTGGAAATATTGTCTCTTGCTGGTATTCCTGCTGACGTTACCCGCCACTTCGGGGGACAGATCATGGGGGACTGCTTGTTCAGGACCGAGGTCGCTTCGAGACTTGCCACAAGTTCCGTTGGGGTCCATTACATGGGAAGGTACTGGCATTCTCTTGAGATTCCTTACACCGAGCGGTGGGCGGTGTTCCTGGCCAAGGTTGTGGGACCGGTCTGCTCGTTATGCGAGGTTGTCCTCCCTTCCCAGGGCCAGATCAAACAGCTCATTGCGAGGCTTGTCTAGTTCGGGCGTAGAGCTATGAAAAGGGCCGCCGCATCATGCGAGTGAGCCCACTAAGACAACCTCGTCGGAGGAGGTGCGGCGCCACTGACACCCCAGCTCGAGGTAGAGTGCCGCGTTAGACAGATGCAATGGTATCAAAAGTGGGCGGCCCATCCAACACGACACTTAGGGGAGTGGCCTCTTCTTGTCGGGGATATACAGTGAGCTCGAGCATGGCGTGCGCACTTTGGACCCCGAGGGCCGCTTCATTCAGCAGGCGAACTCCTAGGCCGTGCAGTACATCCAAGACTTCGAGGCGAGGCGTTGCGGAAGGTTTCCGAGGATACTGAGGCTGCTCTGGAGGCTTGGGATGGGGCCCCAGTGGCCGTTGTGGAGGACGGGCAGTTGAAGGACTGGTTCACCAAGCTCGGTTTGTTGGTCGTGAGGGCTGCCTGGCTCTCAGCACTCAGCACGGGCATATCCTCTTGGACACCCTCGCGATTCCGCGGTTCAGGCTCCTGAGGCGCCTGTCGTCGAAATTGGGTTCCAATGCTTTTATGAGTTCTGTGGTGAGTGGTTTATTACAGGCGTCACTGGCTGGTTCACGCCCGTGCAGCCCATGGTTTCAAGACGCTGCTTGCTGAGGCCGTCACCGGGAGAATACGTGTCGTGCGCGGGAGTCGGTTTCAGAGGCGCAGGTCAGCATACAACCACGTGCTTGACTCGTTCGTCCCAGGTCTTTGCAGGCTTCAGCTCGATTCTACGCTTGACACCGAAGTTCCTGAAGGCCTTGTCCCCTGCTGTCCTCTTGCGGTGCTCAAGAGACCAGCGAATTAGACTTTCATATTCGTACCCGCTATCAGCTCGAAGTTCTTTGTTGGGTCATCGAGCATGCCACTGGAGGAGTCTGCCTGGGCGACCAAGTCGGGCAAGCGCAAGCCCTCCCCAGACGGCGATAAGGAGAAGGAGGTCAAGCAAACCAAACTCTTGGAGCAGCTGGACACCGAGACCGAGGGCCATCAGAAGAGGGGCAGAGGCGGGGCGGTGGCGGGGTTTCTGTCGGTGCTCACGAAGCTCGCTCTCACCAACGCGCGCGAGCTGGTCAAGGTGAGGGGTGCTTGCTGCACCTCTTGCATGGTGGCGCGGACGTTGCCTTCATTAAGCCCGTGTGGGACGCGGGGTGCATTTATGCAGAGAACAACTTGGCGGACGGAACAACTAACAGCCACGGCCCGCCATGGCTGCACGTCTACATGGCATGCATGCGCTGGGCGCGCACGCAGTCTCCGAATATACCGGCGGCTGCGAAGAGAGATGTTGTAAGCATTGCTGGGAGGACGTCAAAGTGGCTCCCAACGCTCCGACTACCCTGCAGACATGCTGCCGGCACTTCCGTATCAAGGGCGGTTGGTTCGGCAAGAAGGGCCATGCCAAATCCGACCGGCCGAAGTTCCAACTCGTGGTCGGAGTTACACATCATAACAGCCTACCACCCCATGGAATGTGAAGTCCGGATCGGCACTGCAGGCCTCTTTGCATCGTCGCTATCATACGGGGCTGGGAGCTTCAACCTTCGATTGTTCCTGGACCCTCGATTTCGGACCATGGCCTCCGAGATGACCCCGCGACAGGCCCGCGCGCCGAACAACGGAAAGGCACCGCAAGGCGCTGAGCACTGGAAACAACAAGTTTTGTCTAGAATCGCCCCCGCCAAGAGAGGTAAATATGACCTGCAGGAATTCCCATGTAGAAGCGCAACTTTCAGGCAACAGAAACGGGACCGGATGATTATTTGTGAGGGAGTCCTGAGCGGAATCGCCAAATTCCGGTGGTTCTTGGAAATTTCTGGTCGTCCGACCGGAAATTGTTGGGGTGGAAGTCTTGGGCGGAATGCGAATCTCGGGATCTGACCTCATTTGGCGATTACAAACTTAAAGGGGGTGAGGATGCACCGGTAATTTTGCCAGGCGGCCTTTGCAACATTGTGCCGGGGCCCGGGGCCGAACGGGAACCGAACATCAAAGCTTCTTCCCCGATCTCAGCGGTCCGGACTTTCTCATCCAGGGGGTTGTAGCGCCAGCTTGCGATTAACACATGCGCCCCCACCCCCCCCCGCCCGGATTTGTTAATCACAAGCTGATAGTAGTAGAGGGCCCACAATTCATGCTCATAGGAGCGATTTGTTTGACTATCGTGGCATTGGGCGGAGACAAATGCACTGCCGTCCAGGGTCCTCTCCGCGCGGGGGGCTAAAGAGGAAGGCGGCGAGGCTGCTGACGAACAGTACCGCGCTGGGGGACCTAGTTGTTTTCATGCTTGCCTCCGACTTTCACAGTTGTGGAGTGCCGAGGTGGGTCCTCGTGGCGCCCCCTTTTTCAGCGGGCCTTGCCTAACTCTGCCTGGGGACCGAAACCGTGTATCCCCCTGCAGGGCCCCGCGGAGTCGCGCTACTGAAGTGGTTAACGACCGCCCGGTTTCCCACGCCAGTACTTGCCGGGCGCTTCGGCACCACCCTGCAGCACCCCCGCGGTGCAAGACGCAGGCCGAGTTCCGAGTTCCGAGTTCTGGTCCTTTTTCTCCTCCTAGTTGGGGCCTTCTGTCGTGGCTATGTAGGCCGAGGCGTTTCATCGGACCGTTGGCGCTGCTCTGCTCCGCTCCTCCTCCTCCTCCTCCTCCTCCTTCTCCTTTTCCTCCTGCTGTTCCTCCTCCTCCTCCTCTTCGTCCTCCTCCCTTATCATTATTTTCCTCCTCCTCCTCCAGCTTCTTCTTCTCCTCCACCTCCTTTTCCTCCTCCTCCTCCTCCTCCTCCTCCTCCTCCTCCTCCTCCTCCTCCTCCTCCCCCTCTTCTTATCCCTCTTCCATCTTTCCTCCTTCCAGTTCCATGCCGCCCCCCCCCCACCTGTCCCCATCCATCTCCCCTCTGCTCCTGCCCCCCTCCATTGACGTGCCCCCATGCAGGCCCCGCTGCCCCAGCTGCTACCCAGCCGCCCGCCCGCCATGGGGCGTTCAGCCAAGATCGCGCGCCGCCTAGCCAAGCGTTCAGGGCGGCCTAGCGGCCCGCCACATCCTCCCATGCCCCTTGCCCCCATCCCCAATCTCGCCTCCCCTCCTCCCCCCCCCTTCCCCTGTCTGTCCCCGTCCAAAGTTACACAACATGCGTGCTATGTATGTTCACATTTCTCTCCCATGTTGCCGTCATCGTTTTTTTGTATGTTGCGTCTGAAAGCCTGTATTTCGCAGGCGCGTTCTGAATATGTCACGATAGCCGGAGATCTTCCGACCAACGGGGAGATGTTGTCGCCGCAACGGTATCAGTGGTCGTTGTACTTGGGTATTGCGTGCAAAAGTCGGTTGCCTTGAAACGCGGTGATATCGCTGGCGCATTTGCGCAGTTTACGTTTACCAGGGGATGTCCGTTCCACGGAACGACGTTGCCGCCACAGTTGTGGCATTGGCGTTGGTATTCCTGCATCCGCGCAAGTACTAACGGCCTAGTGCTTTTCAGCCTGAGCATTGCATCCGTGTGGTTCAATCTGAGTATAAGCCACAGGTGTTCCTCAAACGTCTAGGACACAAGAAAAACGAAACACACAGTCTTCCTCTCCATCATGCCATCCCAGTCTTCGGTCCCGCGGGCGAAGGCATTATTTGATTAGTTCGCCCTTCCAGGATCACTGTGTTTGCGACTTCGGTTCTGCGAACACACACGGGGTCAACGGACGTCAGATATTGCGCGAGCGGACCTAGTCTGCCCCCTCTCCTCCTTGCCCTCCCTCCGCGCCCCCCGAGTCCCACCCCCGTCCAACACCCTCTGCCTTTTCATCGTTCAGTGCCTTCGATCCCTCCTGCATCGCACTCCCTGCCCGTCGTTCTCCATGCTGCTTCTCATCCTGCTGTTCCTCCTCACCCCCCCCTGCCTCTCCTTATCCTCCTCGCCCCCTGTCTTGGGTGATGAGGGTGGAGGGCCATCACACCGCCGACGTGCCTCGCTTGCACCAGGCGCTCTCGAGTCGAGTCGAAGCGTGTCTTGCCGCTGCCCCCGCTTCCCCCTCCCCATCCTGGACTAACCCGTTTCTCCCCCTCCTGGCCGATTGCTGGGCTGGCCACCGAGCTTGAAACTAAGAGGAGGAGGAGGAGGAGGAGGAGGAGGAGAAGGAGGGGTCGGCCGCGCGGGGGGGAGCTCAGAGGCAACGTCAGCGGGGCACCGGATCAGTGGGGGGGGGGCGTGCGCATCGGCCCCCGGTCGCGCATGGATCACTCATAAGGGCCCGATGGGGCCCTCCTCGATTCTCCTACTGCTACTCCTCGATGCTCCTCCTCCTCCTCCTCGATGCTCCTCTTCCTCGATGCTCCTCTTTCTTCGGCCCGATGGGCGGCGTCACTGTCGGGGGCATACCGCCGATCTACCGGCAGCAAATCGCCGATTCGAGCTCGATGTTTCATACCTTACATTTGGTCCCCCTCTGGTGGTGGGTGGGATTGAAGCCAGCAAGCGACCAGGTGCGCATGCAGGCCTTCGAGAAGCAGAGGCGAAACGACAAGGGACAGGACGCCCTGTTTGCGAACTGCACGTCTAGGCTGTGCAACGAACTCACTTGCAGCGGTGGGTATGAGCGTACACCCATGTTTACGTTATCGTGACAGGTGCGCGGTGAACATTTTGTCGCGAATGGTGTAGCTCTCCCCCGTGCCATAACCAGATCATCCAATGTGGCATGTGCCATTGCAACAGATTTGCCAACATATTGATCAACAGACCACTATGTCGTTCACTGTTCAAGGTGTGGTTTGTGTTCTTTGCACTTTCTCGTGGCTGGAGCTTCGATACGAGTTTACCCGACATATCATCCGTTCCTTTGGGTTTTGTCCCAACCCTGTCCTTTCAGGATTCCCTTGCTAACCCTTTGCAAGCGTCGTGGTGGACTCTCTTAGCTTCTCCTCTCGTCAGGAGTGGAAGGCGAGTAAGTGGAAGGAGGCGCGCCAGAAAGAGAAGCGAGAGAAGCAGGCGACGCCCCGTCAAGGGTGGACCAGTGTTTTGAATCTGCCGCTCCAGCATCGAACGTGAGCATGGTTGTCGGGTTGTATCAGGCGGCTGGCCGAACGGTGTCATCCGACATGTGCCTACCTGCGGAACACCCCACCACCGTGCCAACGCAGCCTCGAAAAAGTTTCAGGGTGGTTCCACCTCTGGTCCCCAGCAGGCTTGGGGGCCGTCTAGGGAGCGGCTCTGCGGATCTGTAGCGTGGCGCAGCCGAATCGTTGCATGGCCGTTGTATTGCGATTGGGGAGGTTCTTGGTTCTCCGCTTCTTGGCGGCTCCTTTCAGTCTTGTATGGGGGGTTGGGGAGCCTGTTGGGAGCTTGTGGGGGTCTCGGCGTTTTGGGCGCGATGATTCTCCCGATCTCTCCCAAGGGGGCTCGGTTGGATCATCTAGATGCCGTCTACAACTTGGAATCAGTCGTTGGTGCGGCAAGTTGTCTGCGAAACAGACGGAACGCCCAAGAACTTGGCGATGCGTTGGCGCCGCGGACGGCCCCGGCAGCAGTGAGTCCAAGAAGTGCACTTGATGGTGCAGCATCATTGAGCAGCTGAGTAGTTCTATCATCTTCGTCTTCACCCATCGTTGCCGTCATATGTTTTGGCGTTTGACCACCGTTCTGTGCTTCGTGTGGGATTTAGTCGCACTTCTGTGCTTCGAGTGCCTCGTGTGGCGTTTGGTCACGCTTCTTTACTTGCCAACGCGCCCACCTGGACGCAAGACTTCTGACTGACTAGCAGTCTTTGAGTTTGTGTGAGCGTTCTTGCGCCGTCTGGGGGTTTCTTGGAGCTGACTTGAGGGTCGTCTCGGGCTGTCTTGGGAGCGTCTCGGGCCTCTTTGCAGGCTTCCCGAGGCCATGTTGAGCCGAAACGCCTCGGAGATGACAGGTGCTGAGAACCCATCTGCGTTTATGTCACTGGCCTCCCACGGCCTCGCTGGAGGCCTTTGGGGCCTCTGAGGGGCTTCTTGGGGCCTCTCGGAGGCGCCAGGGGGACATGTCGGGGCCTTTGGCGGGTCCCGGGGTCGTCTTGGACAGCAGTCTGAGAACATCGTGCAGTTGCGTTGGGGCGATGTCTGGTCGCTCCAAGCCGCTTAAAGGCCGAAAGGGGCGCCAGCGAGCAAACCTCAACAGGCATTCTAACACGCCCCAACGTGCGGGGGACACGGTGGTGGATCCTCGCTTCCCATCGTCTTCCGCATTATCCGTCTTTTTCTTATTATCCTCATTATTATGATTAGTATTCTTCTTCGCTTCCTTCCCGTGCCATAGAGACACGGGTGCTATATGTATTGTGATATGTTCTCCTACATATATCCTTCATCTTCTACCCTCCACCCTCGCTCCTGTATCTTCTAACCTCCATGCTCTGGGTTTCCATTACGTACCCGTTTTAAAAGCTTGAGGCGTGCAGCCCATGACGGATTTTGACACAACGTTTGGCGCCCGGTTTCCCAAGTTGGGTCGCGTATGATCGCCGTGCCCCCGTGCGTAGAGACTCTTCTCTGTATGCCGCTGACCCGAAACCAGCATACATTTGCAAAGGTCCGAGCCAGGGCCCCGCGGGGTCAGCGATGTCACCAGCTCGTGTCGTTCCCACTGGAACCGCACGGGCTCGGCAGGCGCATTTGAGGTGCACTCCCCGCCGCCACCGCGCTGTCGTAGGGACGCATCCCTCCCCCTTCCTGGGGTTTCTGGGTCGCCTCTTTTGGGCCCCTCGTGGGGCTCGCTGTGGCGCCTCCTGAGCTCCTCTTGGAGGCTCGGGAGTGGGCTGTCTTGGAGCAACTTGTCGGAGCCTCGTGCCTGAGACACCCTCAAAGCTGCAGGGGGAAAAGGCAAACATGCAAACATGTTATCCAGCGTAGTCCAAAAGCAGAAGGCTCCTGCACCCTTGATATGCAACACACGCATGTCAAGCTATGCCATGCATCATGCGCATGGCGCGAAACGCTTGCTGTGAGCTGTGCGGTGAGGGCATTGATGTGCAAGCTATGCGGTACCATAAATGTGGTGTGAGCTATGCACTGCGAGCTATGTGATGCAGGTTATGTGGTGAAAATTGTTTGATCCAAGCTATATGGTGCACTATCTGGTTTAAGCTACGTGTTACAAGCTGCATGCGCTGCAAGCTACACTGCGTTCTGCGCATGGTGCAAGCTAAGTGGTGCAAGCTATGACATGCAAGCTACATGACCCAACAAGTGTTGTGAAAACCCACCGCACGGGGTGCCCGCGGGCAGCCGCCAACCCAGCACCAGCCGACACCCGGCCACGCCCGCCCATCGGAGGCGGCCAAGAGGGGGGTGAGGACTAATGGGGGGTGGATATCATGGCGTGGGCCATGATATTTCCTCAGATTTCATGGCGCCTCTTCTTGTTTCATTACGTCCCTGGCCCCCGCCCCTGGGCCGCGCACATGCCGTCGGCCATGATCTGCACCCCCCCCGCTCTTGGACGCCCCCCTCATTGGCCGCCCCCGACACACGGTACGCCGACGAGGCGCCCACGGGCGGGCAGCCAACCCGGCACCACTACCGAAGCCCGGCCACGCCCACACAGCGCGTCGGGGCGCCCACGAGGCGCCCACGGGCGGGCAGCCACCTTGGCCGGCACCATTGCCGAAACCTGGCCATGCCCGCCCAGCGTACGGGGGCGCCCACGAGGCGCCCACGGGCGGGCACGCAGTGTACACCAGGCGAAGCTCCGGGGGGCGGCCAAGAGGGGGGTGAGGACTAGGATTAAGTCGGGCGTGTCCCTCTACAGGAGGAATATTCAAAAATAGTAAAAAAATAGTCTGGGTACGATGTTTTGACCATGTTCGACCATTTTGGCGCATTTGTTGAGTACTTTTATCTTTCGTCCAAAATCCCCCTGTAGGGGGGCATGCCCGACCTAGACTGGGGGGGGGATTTCATGGCGTGGGCCATGATATTTCCTCAGATGTCATGGCGCCTCTTCTGACCTATACGACCACCCTTCGGGTGATAAGGAGGTTGTGGAGGGGGAGAGGAGGGGGAACCAACATCTGACTCAATAGATCTCACTATCGATCTCACTCAACGGGACACCACGGGACCACGGGACACTTGATCTCACTATCGATCTCACTATCGGTCTCATTCAACGGGACACCACGGGAAACCACGAGACACGGGACACCGCTGGACACCTCTCGATCTCAGTATCGGTCTCATTATCGATCTCACTATGTATCGATCTCATTCAACGGCACACCACGGGACACAACGGGACACTTGTCGATCTCATCATCGATCTCACTATCGATCTCACTTTTTGGGACACCTCGGGGGCACCACATCGATCTCACTATCGATCTCACTCAACGGCACACCAATGGACACCACGGGACACCACGGGACACCACGGGACACCGCGATCCACCGCCAGACGGACGTGGGAGAATCATTTGTCTTGACTTCGCCCTAGCAACGGTGGACACCACGGGACGCCGAGGGACGCCGAGGGCCACCGCCAGACGGACGGACGGACGGGGGAGAATCATTTGTCTTGACTTCGCCCTAGCAACGGCGGACACCACGGGACACCGAGGGCCACCGCCAGACGGACGGACGGGGGAGAATCATGTGTCTTGACTTCGCCCTAGCAACGGCGGGTTCATTGCTCTCGCGCGCCCAAGCAGCTTCGCCTCGCCCGCACGCACGACACGAACGAAACGAAACGATTTCCCGGTTGGGGTTCTCCGTTTCATGGCGATCTCACCCCCCAACCTCCGATTTCATTACGCTCCTGGCCACGCCGCCCCCCTGGGCCACGCACGTGCCGCCGGCCATGATTTGTGCCCCCCCTCTTGGACGCCCCCCTCCTGGCCGCCCCCGAACTGTGCACCAGGCGAAACCCCATCATTCTGGTCCAAGTACCCCGGTAACCCACATAAGAGCCCCTAAGTGCAAGCACCGTGTAGGGAATAATGCACATACATGCAAGGCGTTTCAACGATTTGGGCCTCTGAGGATGGCCACGGGACCAGCACGACAACACATGAGGCCCCCAATAGAGCTCCAGGAGGATCCCCAGGAACCATCTCAGGGCATGTTCGAGGTTTGGATTCCAAGACACCCTCCCAAGGCCTTTGGACAAAAGTCACGCGACGAAGCCTCATAGGCCATATTGCTGTTTGGTATTAGGTGGCCTCGGGACGACGTGAAATAGCCCCGAGGTGGCCAGAGAGTGCTCGAGCAGCAAAACGGATTCAATGCGCAGGACGAGCCAGAGGGTCCCAGAAGGGGCCCAAGAAGGCCTTCGGACAGGCCGCTGATGGCCCAAGAAAGCCCCAAGATTCGGCGTTCGACGATTGAGCCCTGAGGACAGGGCCTCCTCGCCCTGGGGCCCAACGTCGCAGGGCCCCATCTTTGAAGGGCCGAAAGACGGCCAACGGCAGCTCCCACACTGCGCCAAGACGGTCCCAGAGAGCTTTGCGGGCCCGCAAGCGCTCCAAGACGATTCAGTGGGGGCCCGAACATGGCCTCAACAGGTACCCACCAATATGCCGCCTAGACGGCTCAAAAGATCCGAAGTGAGCCTTCATAGCCGAACAGGCCCCCCACAATTGCGCAGAATGCCCCATAATGCTCGACAGGCCCCGAGAGGGCGGCTACTGCACACAGGGACGTCTGCAACACCGTTTCCCGTTGTGCCCGAAAGAGGTTCCATTTGGGTTCATGGCAGCATGTGGGCGAGGATATTTGGTTCACGGGATATATCAAACGTGAAATGCGGGAGCATTGCTTCGAGAGCGAGTGCGATTTGTGGTTTTGCAATGGACCGCAGCCCCAGGATCAATGACCCTTTGTGTGCAGGTCTGTGAGAGAGAGAGAGAAACAAAAACAAACATGTGGTTTTGCGCGCATGTGTGCGCGTGTGCGTGTGCGTGTGCGGTGTGTGTGGTGTGTGTGGTGCGTGCGTGTGTGTGGTGTGTGTGTGTGTGCGGTGAGTGCGTGTCACCGTGTGCGTGTCACCGTGTGCGTGTGCGTGTGCGTGTGTGTATGTGTGTGTGTGTGCGTGTGCGCGTGCGCGTGCGTGTGCGTGTGCGTCTGCGTGTGTTTGTGTGTGCGTGTGTGTGCGTGTGCGCGCGTGCGTGTGCGCGCGTGTGCGCGCGTGTGCGCGTGTGCGCGTGTTCGCGCGTGCGCGTGTGCACGTGTGCGCGTGTGCGCGTGTGCGCGTGTGCGCGTGTGCGCGTGTGCGCGTGTGCGCGTGTGCGCGTGTGCGCGTGTGCGCGTGTGCGTGTGCGCGTGTGCGTGTGCGCGTGTGCGCGTGTGCGCGTGTGCGCGTGATGCTGAAAGCGTGAGCCAGGAACTGTTGCAAGGGGTCCTTGGGCCAGAGCGAAATCCACCATCACATGGGATCGCTGTCTTGGAGAAGGCTGTCCCGCTGTTTTGCGAAAAGGGATTGATGCCCAGGGGGCGAGGGAACCTGGTCGCTTCTGTGCCCCTGGACAAGAGACTGCGATTACATCACATAACCTTGGGAGGGGGCAAGATCTATTCTGGGTCTTGGGCGGGCCGTGCGTGAACACCTTGAGCCCATTGGATGTGATTATGAGAATACATCGAACGTACATGAGAAATTCGACGACAATGAAAATTATGATGAAAATCTGAAGTTATATGAAGACATAAAGGTATTATGAACATCGAAAATGGAGACCGGGAGCTTGATACGTTATTATCGGAGGGTGAAAAAGGGTGTCTGCACCAGGGGGTCTTCAATGGGGGCTGAATGGCCCATGCATGCTCAATGTATCGCTCATGTATGTGATCGGGTACGAGTGGCATCCAATGTTGGCGGTCATGGAGGGCCAGTCGTTCGTGCCCGCGCGTTGCCCGCGTGGGCAAACGCGCCGTCCATCCAGTATCGTTCATGCGTGCGGGCGTTTTTGCGCATTGCGCGTGGGGCGGCGAAGTGGAGTGCAAGTGTGTCTTGATTGTGCGATTGATGATCGCGTATGTTCCCCAACGATGACTCGTCGACCTCGAAGACACATTTGGAATGGGCCCCGCGAGTATCCCAAAATGTGTTTCCCTTTTTTCCAAACTGTGAATTCAGATGTCTCCTTTTTCCCAAAATGTGGATTCACAGTCTGGCCCCTTATAAAGATTCCACCACAAAATTCCAACATGTGAATTCACATCTTCCTTTTTCTCCAAAATTTGAATTCACATTTTCCTTTTTCCCAATATTTGAATTCACATTTTGCTTTTCCCCACAATGTGAATTCACATTTTGCCCTGGCCTTCAAGAACCCCAAAACTGAGGCGCAGTGTTCCGCATGTCAAATTGGCTGGGCAGATTTTGACGCTCACCTCACCGCTTTCGTTTACTCGACCGTTTCTTTTGTGCGCCCTCAGCGCACGTTGCCTCCGTCGCATTTCCCGAGCCCCCCGCCCCCTTGCTTGGTTGACCTTCAAGTCTCGTGCATGGGTGCAGGCGGGGAGCTTCAATTGGTTCCCCCGCCGACCACCAATCGAGGATGCATCGCCCACGCATGGCCCATGAAGACACCATTGCCAGGACCCTGCGCCCGACCTCCATTTTCACCCTTCAATATTATGACAGTCGGAAGCCCACATCGACGAGCCGCAGAGTTGGCCGTCCGGTTGGGGACCCTGGATATTTCTCTCGTTTGGGATTCGTTGTCAGCGAAGCCTCTTGAGGCTGCCCGATAAATAGCATGGGAAACCCAAAGCCGTGATCAAAAGGAGCTCTGTGGGGTCGTATTGGATGTTTTTTCGGGGGGTCTTTGGGAGCCTCGGGGTGGTTTCTTGGGCCATCTGCTCAAAAGGTGTTTCGGGGGGTCGTAATAGTACGGTCGGTTCGTGCGGCGTTGGCGCGCCGGCGACGCCGGCGAAGGCGTTCAAGGTTGAATTCTGCGACGCGGAAGCACCGAGGGACGCGGTGACGCCATTGGACCCGACGGAATTCAATCTTGAACCATCGGAGCCGAGATTGGCTCAAGGTTGAACGATCGACTCGGTGTAAAAAAAATTTTGCGCGCGCCAACGCCGCACGAACCTACTGTATGAGTGCCTATGGGTGGGTCTGGGGAGACTTCGATGCGGTAGTTGTTGGCCATATGGGTGTGTTCTGGGGGTCTTTTGGGTTCCGGCTCGTCTGTCGCCCTCCTGCGCTGCCTTCGGGCTTCCGTTGGCCGTTGGGTGTTGGACGCAGCAGGTGTTGAACAATCAATCGTTCAGGAGGGGAAAAATCACAGACAATTATTAATCGTCGACGCCCAGGAAAGTATTGGAAAATATGGGAAATGGGGGGGAATTGGGTTCGTGTGTATTTATTTGTGTGTCCCTGGGCTCCTTCAATAGTTCGTATTGTTTTTGCGATCCAGCTTTCTTGGTGACATTATCACGGGGTCTCTTGATTACCTAGAGGTGTCTGAAGACCGTGTGGGGGGCCTCTTAGACCGTGGACGCCTGCTTGGGCAAGTTTGTTAAGTGGGGCCATCCTCGCCCTCGCCTTTCCGGTTCAGCGCCGCGTACGCGATAGCCAGGTCTTCGGGGTGAAATGCACGGCGATTGGGGGGGGGACGATCACCAACACAGGCCGCCAAAATACCACACAGCCGACGGACCATACGACGTAGAGGACAGATCCAGATGAGAGAGAGCGCGCCGAGTTCGGTGACTGGATGGATGAGAGCATCAGGAGAAGGTGAGAAGCGCAGCCCCAGATCACGACAGCGACCGAGGGCCCAGAGAGCTTACGAGCCACACCGCCTTGACGGAGGAGCTCCTCACGATCACCACCATGATTCAGGGCACGAGCGAGACATTCGCAAGGCGAGAGAAGGGAAAAGCAGTTGCAGAAGACCCAATGCGCTCGCAGGTCACTTGAGTACAGTAAAGGATGCGCGGTACTGATGGCAAGGCGTGGCACCTTCGGGCTGCAAGAGTTTGTCGAACACACGGTGCCACGTCGGGACGGGGACGTTTCCCATACAGCAACTCGGGCTGGCAGGGCTAAAACAGCTGTGAGGTGCCTCCCCCGTCGTAGCACGGCCTTGGGAGGCGGCCCTCACCGAGGAAAGAATGAACGCGTTCGGCTCAGGTTGAGCTTCGGCTTCGAATCGCACTCGCCTTTGCGCGCATCTCGGGACGGCAGCTGCACTCCCTCCTCGTCCGACATCACGACGTAGAGACCCACACAACAACGGCGGCCAGCCCCGGCTGCAAGGGCGCGGGGGCGGCAACACCTCAGAACCGCTGCCGTCCCAGCGATCGACCATCGAGGATCGCGGCGACTGAACAGCCACCAGGGGACCCAATGTCTTGGGGGAAGGCCCCGGGATGCAGGATCCGTGCCCTCAGGACCCGTTTCTCCCATGCTAGGGGGGAGGGGCCCTCTGGGCTCGTGCCATGACAGCAATCGACTCCCAGAGGAGCGAGGGGCGGGCTTGCCTTACTGCGATTATCAGGAGACCACCTCATGGCCGGGAGGCGCCACCCGGCCCCCATGACCGCACCCTTCTGCCGAGGTGGCAGCGTGCACATGACCCCGGCCTGACGGCAAGTGTGACCATATGTCGCAACGGGCGAAAGGGGGGGATAGCAAACGGGGGGGGGGAGAATCACCTCACATAGCTGATTTTCCTGGCGCCTCCCGGCGCCTGGAGGCGCCCATGTATGGAGGAATGGGCCCGGCGGCGGGGCCGAAACCAGCTGCATGCAGCAGATTTCGTACCCCCCCCTTTCCCTATGCCCCCCTTTCGTTCGGCCCGAATTTGGGGCTTGCTTGGACGGTTTGGGACGCCCGGACCGTGCTTTCTCCACACGGCACCGCTTCAGACCAGCCGGACCAGGCTCCTGGGGAATGGTTTGGGGAGAAGGGAAGATCCCACACGCCTAGCAACCCCAAGGGGTCGGCGAGTTATTGACCATTGTTGGGTGATACGTTGCGAGCAAAGGACAGGAGGTACTCCGATTGCTGAGAAAACCTTGTCTGGGGAGCCTGCTTGTCCTGCATTGGGGCCAGCATGTTCGTCCTGTCTCTACTGCCCGTTTGTATTTATTGTTGGTGCAGTTGCAAGGCGAAGGGTTCGCAAGATCCCGACGGAGAAGTCACCATGAGTGGCGTTGAGGTGCAGCCCTTGTTGCCTTGTTTCAAGTTGATGACAAGAATGCATCACCTCTCGAGATTAATCTGCAGTGTTTCTGTTCTTGGAACTCCCCATCACTCGCAGTGGCTGCGCGTCTTTACTTTCGTGCTTTTCCGCACTTCGCAAGAATGTAGCGTATGTTGGACACGATTTGTCCTTCTTTGTGGTGGACAGGGACTGGTGAGGTCGAGACAAAGGGCGTTTTTGGGCCAGGGCCAAGCTGTGCATTCTGCCAATATTCTTGCCAATCTTATGATGCTCCAACTTGCTTTAACCTGAATCGCCAGAAAGAGTTTCGAGCATCAAGAAATTACCGAAACGGAAGGGTTTTCACGTGTCGGGCCCTGGGAGGCGGTACTCGTCCGACACTGTTGCGAGACTTCTCTGGGTGCTCGAAACTGGTTCTGGGATGTGGTCCTTAAGTACGATGGGAGCAACGTAGCGCCAATCCATCACTTGCTCCTTTACTGCATGGGGCCCTGTCACGCTTGCTGTTCTGGCCTCCACATGCTAGCGTGCGTCATCCAGCATATCCAACACACCCTCCATTTCACGCGTCGCTTGGCCGGGGGCAGTACAGCTGTTGGACCCCTCGATGTTGCATTGCCCACTGGTAAGAATCCGAATTCGATCGATGTCATCCAGTATATCCAACACACCCTTCATTTCACGCGTCGCTTGGCCAGGGGCAGTACAGCTGTTGGACCCCTCGATGTTGCACTGCCCACTGGTAAGAATCCGAATTCGATCGATGCCATCCAGCACATCCAAGATACCCTCCATTTCACGCGTCGTTTGGCCGTGGGCAGTACAGCTATTGTGCCCCTTGATGTTTCATTGCCTACTGGTCAGAATCCGAATTCGATCAATGCGATTGTTCTTCAGCAGACGCGGTCGTTTGTTATCAGGCACAACAGAGGGGAAGTTCAACCACTTCGCAGCGGTGCACAGTCAGGTGAGACGCGCGTGCAGGTACGTGCGCGTGCAGGAGAGTCACAGGGGCATGCTCACGCACCCACATCGAGAAGAAACACCAGAAGCATCAGTTAGCAACCTGGCACACAAATCTTGCTCGGCAGCGTCGATGCAGGATCCGGCGGCCAGATACCGACGACGGTCAAACACACACACACACACACACACACACGCGCACACGCGTAATTATTATATCATACACATAGAGAGAGGAAACACAAACAAATGAGAGAGAGAGAGTATCCACAGGATATGTGTATATATATATATATATATATATCTAAATTTACATTTACCTATTCATATATCCATAGTTATACATGTATGATTCGAGAGGGAGGGAGAGAGAGAGAGAGAGAGAGACAAAGAGAGCGAGAGAGAGGCAAAGAGAGCCCCACGCCCGCCAGGCCGCTGCCGGCGGCATCCCCGGCATCACCTTGTCGGCGGCCGACCGCGCCAGAGCCGCCGCCGGCGCCGCGCTGCTGCAGAAGGCCGCGGCGGCGGAGGGGCCGCGCAAGAAGGACTTCCCAGGGGGGCAGGGGCAGCTGCATATGTGGCCAGGGAGGGAGCGAGGGGAGAGTCAGGCGATCGCAACCATGGATTCCGTGGACTAGCGTTAAGTCGGGCCTGTCCCTCTACACGAGGAAAATGCAAAAATAGTTAAAACATTGTCTGGGGACGATATTTCGACTTTAAATGTTAGCATTTTTTGGCTATGTTTTATTGTTCGTCCAAAATCCGCCTGTAGGAGGACACGCCCGACCTAAGGTTAGCGACGGGTCCCGCTTCCACGGGAAATCGCGGATTTCCGCCGCCGAACGAGGCGGCACCGGCCGCATTTTGGGGAGGGCACCTCCCCCGATCCATGGATTTGGCGACCGCGCGCCAAATTCATGGATCGCTAATACATGTTGGCGCACACCCGAGAGGAGAGGCCAGGGGCAACGTCGACCGTGCGAGGAGACTCAGGAGAGGAAAAAACACAGACAGAATTCATCGTCGATCCCCAGGAAATATAGGAAAATATGGGAAGTGGGGGGACGACAAAAACCCAGAAAATATAGGAAAATACCGGGAATCCTGTTATTTGTGTGTATTTGTTTGTGTGTCTCAGGGCCCCTTCAGAGACTAGGAGAGACGAAGACGTCCTCGCGTCGCGGGGCGCGGTGCGCGAGGACAGGCGACCTGGGTCACGAGCAGATCGGGACGGCGGCTTTTCCTCAACCTTGGCTTCCGAGGGCACGCTTCGGGCCCCCGTTCGGAACGGAGGACGGGCCCAGGAAAGAGCGGATTCGCTACCGGTGGCACATCGCCAATCTACCGGGGATGTGTCGCCAGTTCCATGTCGACGTTCCCCCCTCGAGCTGGTCCACCGTGAGAGGGAGGGGGAGCAGAGGCGCGAAGGATCGGGGCGGGCGAGGAGGAGGATCGAGGAGGAGGAGCGAGGAGGGCCGAGGAGGAGGAGGAGCGAGGAGATCCCACTGTCCCGTTTTGTCGCTGCTGTGGCTTCGTCTCAGGGCGGGGGGGGGTCGGCAAGCCCGCGCCCGGGCGGGCCGCGCGGGAGCACGGGCCGCCAACGGCGCGGCACCTCGTGGCCTCCCAGGCCCACGAGGGCCCCGTCGGCGAGTGCCGCGGCAGTGGGGCAGCAGCAAAAGCTCGATGGCCGGGAAACCGCAAGGCACGAGTGCGCCGGGTCTCGGGTTCGCCTGCGCGTTCTGACGAGCGCGTCCTGGATGTTTGATGGTCCAGTTCTCGTGGGATGTCTGCAGCGGGAGCCCGCGTCAAATTTCAGATTGTGCCGCGCCGTTTTCATGGTGGCCCCGTCGGGCCAACCCGAGTCCCGCTGACCCGAATCCTACGTCTGCCCGAGATTGGGGAGACATGGGGAAAAGGACGAGTAAGACCGTGGCAGGCGGGACGCGGAGGCCGCCAGAGGCCGTGCATGGAAGGCCAGAGACCAGACCATGCAGACGCCCTTGCCTGTCGGTTGGTTGGGCCTCTGACCAGGGAGTCTTACGAAGCTGGCTTGAGCCACAAGTCCCCTCCCCTCTTCCTCCCTCGAGTGAAGCTGTGTCGAGTACTGCCCTACACCTTGTCTTCTTGTCCGGTGCAAGATTACTTCCATAGACGGGCACGTTCCAAGCCGCTAAGGAACGGAAAAAGAGGAGGAGGAGGAGGAGGAGGAGGGAGAGGGAGGGAGGGAGGGAGGGAGGGAGGGAGGGAGGGAAGGAGGAGGAGGAGGAAGGACGCATCATGATGTCATGAATGTGTTGCGCCTCCGAGGTGCGTGCAGTGCAGTGCAGGAGGAGGAAGAGAGAAAGGGATCAGGAGATTCGGCATTGTGCCGCAGCCATTGCGAGGGTCTAGACTTCTCCGACGTAAGGCACCTTGCTCTGGATCGAATTCCAGATGCGACTCACCGATGTGATGTCTTATCGGTAGCAAGCTCGATTGGTGAGGACGGGGAGGAGGAAGAGGAGGAGGAGGAGGAGGAAGAGGAGGAGGAGGAGGATTGGTTGAGTCGGCAAGTTGCGCATGAGTTGCCATGGGGACAGGAGGACCGAAACCAGTTTGACTGGACCAATCCTTACTCAAAATCTCCGACACGTACTTGCCCCTGACTGGTGAAGGTTAGTCAGAGCCTTCTGAAGCAAAACGAAGTTTTCGTCCACCACTTCCTCCTCCCGACGCAGTACAGCACGCACAGACTGGAGCTGGGCGGCAGGGCTAGCATCGAGCTGATCACCAGGCTCCTCCGCCTGGCCCGCTGGCTCGGCTTCGACAAAATCGCCAGGATCGAACATGTCGCTTGAGAGAGCGGACGACCGAGGTGGCGGATTTCGACAACGCTTCCTTGGGCAGGGGTCGACAGCCAGCACGGAATGTATCGAAATGGCTGCCGTTGGAGTCCCAGTAGCAGCGGACGCAGAGGCACAGCACAGTCGAGCTAGAGCAGGAATTGCCGATAATGTGATGAGCCTTCTCTGCGAAGATCAAGGCCACTTGTGGTAGCTGTCTTGCACAGCCTGGCGGTGGTTGATCAGCCTGTCGCTTAAACCTCAAGCATCTCTGGCAACGCCAAGCAGTTTTGCACCAGAGCCAGTTTGGGTGCAAGCTACTCTTCACCTTGGTCGCAGGGCGGGGGCCTCACACCAACGGCACAACAGTGATGTCGAGCGCTGGCCAAAGAGGCAAAAACGTGTAGGCTAGCGTGCCCGTGAGACGGGCCAAGCGAACGGTCCTTTGAAATTATTTCAGGTCACTTTCCGATGGCTGATGCAGCGCCCTGCTTAGTTGCAGCATCGGCGGCGTCTTTGCCACACTTGCAGAAACGCTCGTACTCAGGTGTGTCTGGGCTGTCCTGAACGTGGGATTTAAAACATATGCCAATAAGAGATAACCTTGACCTTCAACACAGCACTGAAAGGGGTCTTACCCTTCAGATGCATGCATGCATTTGTTATCTTGTATAAGGCCTGCTTACATAATAGCTGGCCAAACTGCGTAACAACATCATTGCACCTGCTGTTACCGATGGAGTGCCCAGCTAAAACACAAGAGAGGGTCTGTGTGCCCCAAACTCCCCCGACTGCGAAATTTGGGGCAAGTTGGACCAAATGGACCCACAGAGAGAACACGTATTCTTGAAACCATGCATTTGATCAGATTTCAAGGTGGCGACATTTGGCATATCGCACGTGCTGCGCACCAGGGGCACGCGAGCAGCATAATTAGGTACAGCGGCAGCTCTCCGGGACAGATCATCCGCCGAAGAAGCCGAGCTCCAAGCCTCAGGAAACACACTGACTAGCATAGCGAAGCTTCACTCTGAAGCAATATCTGTGGCGTACCTAACCGTCGGGGCAACTGCAGGGTACCAACAGGGATCCACTTTAAAGGTGGATGAAGCCGTGCCAGGCCGAGACTTGATATTTGGCTTCGCTATTCTCGCATGTCTACAGTTAGAACGCTCACAAGCCGAACCCTCATGAATTTAGCACCCGAAGATATCAGCAGATGAACAGTCAGACACAAACGACCGACCGTATGAGGAGGAGAATGAGGAGGAGGAGGAGGAGAAGGAAGGAAGAGGGGGTGGAGGTGAGGAGGAGGGGGAGGAAAAAGAACGGGATCTGGAGAGATTTGGTATCGTGCCGCAGCCATGGCGAGGGTCTAGTCTTCTCCGACATAGGGCACCTTGCTCCGACTCGGATCCTCGATGCGATATGGTTCAGCCTTCACGCGTTGCGAGCAGCGCACAAGCATATTGGCCTGACGGGGTTAGCAAGCTCCTTCGAGTGACGGCCAGAGTCTAGGTGAGGTAGAATGCCTGCGCCGGCGCTCCGATAGTCCGCTCGGGACAGCGAGTCGCGCAAGGTGTAGTATGCCTCCTCCTCCACCGCTCCTTTCTCCTCATCGTCCTCACCCCTTCTCTCTGATGTGTCCGTTCGCTTTCTATTGATGTTTCCGTACCCCTTGTCCTCCTCCCTCATTGTTTTTGTTGTCTTCCTCCCGCTCATCTGTTATCTCGTCGTCCTCCTCGCTGTTGAGAGTCCAGACAGCTGGCGGGCAGGGGGCGAACGCTGCGCCTGACACAGGCGGCGCACGTTTTCTCTTCTTGCAAGGGGGGCGATATGATGCGGGTGTGCCTCCACATGCATGTCGCGATCGCTTGCTGTTCTCCTGCGCAGTTCACCCTGCTGGTCCGCACGCGCACTTTGTCCGTCGCATGCATAGTTCGGCATTCTTGTCCGTCGCGCTTACAGTTGTCAGCGGGAAGTGTAAACATATCCAGCTGCTTGCGGGGAAGTCCCGCCACCGTGCCAGTCCAGCACGTTGGGTGGCGACTACTCGAGGGGGCACGGAAGGCCGTCACGTGTGAGCCTTCGGCCTTTTTGAAGGTTCCGGAGGCCTCTCGAGGGGTATTGGAGGCCTCTTGCATATTGGGCCATCTTGGCGGCCTGGATGGCTTTCCTGGGCCGTCTTGGAAAATGTCGGGGGGCCCAGGGAAGCGCCATGGCCGCCCAGGATCCTTTGGAAGGAGGGGTGGTGCGCGCGCTATTCTGTGATGAGAGCGGCGGGTTGGCCCCTGGGAGACTACAGAAACAATGCCAGACAGCACTTCGTATTCTTCCACGGCCGAACGTCCCAGCAGACACGGTGGCGGATGTCAAACAAATAAGATGACATTACGCCTTGGCGGCTTTGTAGTGGCCCCAGGCCGCTGGAGATCCCCTAAACGGATCCAGAGGCTCCCAAGAGTGTCTCAAGACGGTCCAAGTGGGTCTAAAGTTTGCCCAAGACGGATCCAAGACGGCCCAATATATTTTCAAGAGGGCCCAGAGACAGCCCACGACTGTTCAACATGCTTTCAAGACTACCCCAGAGTAAGGCCTCAAAGTCTCGCGCTATTGAGCTTCAGTGCCCACAGGACGGCCCAAGAGGCCCCTCAGGTCGCACCGAGACGACCCAAGAGGCCCCTAGAGGCACCCAAGACCGTCCGTGGCCATGTTGTGTCAAGCCCTTTCAAGTCGAGTGGCGTCTCCAGACGCCAGTCTCATCTCGTCGCTTCTCCCCGCTCACTGCTGGCGGAACTTCCGCATGAGCCAGGTGCCAGAGACCAGCGACGTGAACTACCAGGGGACGCCACCAAAGCGTGGCAGGGGCATGCTTATTATCAAAACCAAGAAGGGGTTGCGACTCAATGTTGCGGATGGCGCAGACACCGAAGTGGACGATTTCGATGGCGACAGTGTCGTCATGACGCAGGCAGAGTTCAAGTCAATGGTGCGCAACATCTCCGTCAAGGGCCGGGTGCAGAATCTCCGACGCTACCTCGGCCTCGCGACCGCAGGAGTTGGTCCAATTGCAGTTGCTCGCGGAACACGTTTCAGACGGGGGTTTCGATTGCAATTCGAGCATTAAGACGCGACGTTTCAGAAATGTGTGGTGGAAGTGACAAACACAACCGCCACTTCTGCATGATGCCCGATGAGGCTCTCCCGGCTTGGATGGGTGCCGCGAGCCCATCGGAGAGGCTCACGGATGCATATTACGAGTATTGGGTCAGTGTTGAAACGTTGTCTCCAGTTCGCCTCATCCACGATGGTATTGGTACGATGGTCATATTTCGGGCCACGACGCAGGGTGTAGATGACAGCGCCGCAGAGGCCCTGTTCGACAGCATGGGCACGGGATCTTATTGGGTGGATGTCATGAGGTGCTTGGCAGAAGAGCCAGACCAAATCGAGCCTGTGGTATACGACAATGGGTTGGCGCTGCCGCGCCCGATGACGGACAATAGAGACCCTTGCCGTTCAACGCGAAGATGCGAAGATGATTGGAGACAGTGGAACTGAATTGGTCGTCAACGCCAACGCGAGCAACATTAGTTTGGACTTGGTGGGCGCGATCATCGGTGGAAGAGAATGCGCGGCGGATTTCGCGGAAAACAATCGCAGATCCGTTCGCCCATTGGCGAAGCCCGGCTCGTAAAAACAACAAAAAAAGACGGAGGTATGCTGCGCGACGCCAGGTCTGGAGTTGTCGACGGAATGCGCGTTCGAGGGCGCCGCGCCCAGCATTCTCGAGTGAAGCGGCAGCCCCCTGGCAATATCTTTGCAGGGTAGCGCGGAACTCGCAGGCAGTGCCACCAGGCGCTTTTCTGGGCGAGTTCGAGGAGAAGGAGGAAGAAGAGGACCGCTTGCAGACGACGGCTCAAGCAGGCGGCAGACCCTGAGCCGCCCGCGCCCATCGCGCCACAGCTCGCCGATGGCTCGAATTCGCTGGCCCTCGGAACTCGACGAAAAGTCGCGCGCGAAATTTGCTCGAGACATGACCCCATATAGCCCGCCAAGGAGTGACATCGCCATGTTCAACGCTACAGTCCCAGGCCCTGGCGAGGAGGCCAAGGGCGTTGCCAGGGTTGGTCGACCCGACCGGAACCGATACTTCAGTTGCGAGCAGGCGCCTGTTCATCGACCTGGCGCGCCTTGCCCCGAGCGCCGCGCCGGGCCACCCATTCGCTGGGCGGGCAACAAGCCAACCCAACGCTGGCGCGACCCCATCGACGTAGACGCGATGGCAGGAAGGCGTGCGCAGGAGCGCCTCTGCCGCGGAGTTGCAGCTCAGCTGGCCCGCGGCGGGCGTCGTCTTGCTCGTCGGAACTGGGCGCGTGCCGACCCCGATTAGGGTGCCATTCAGCGCCGGCGACTGCGCCCGATCGCCGCAGGTTTCGGGGGCAGCCGCGGGGGCAAATTCCCCTTCGCGCTGGGCGGTCACGCGTCAAAGACATGGTCGGCGGGCTTGGCTTGAATTTGGGCATCTTGTCCATCGCGGCCACGTCGTTTCAGTCTTGAGTATCCACATTGTGCGACCCATTGCTGGTCGAGCCGCCGTCGTCGACGTTGGTCGGTGGCAGGCGCTGGGCATTGCACTTGCGACTTCCTGCGCTCGCCATTGCGCTTGCCCTGGCCGAAGCGCAAGTCGACGTCGCCTTGGAGGCGCAGCGCCGGAACAGCGGGGCGGACTGGGAAACTGCAGCCAGGCAGAAAGAGAGCGCCGCTGGGAAGGGCCCAGGCACGGGCGCGACTTTGGGCCCTCAGGGCAAAGCCCTTAGGCACCATCAGGATTGTTGAGGGCACAACGAAGGGGTCCGCCACGACGATTGAGCGCCCGCCGACCCCTCGGGGCCCGCGGGGGCCCCCGCGCCGCTGCGCGCCCGGAGTTTCCTGCCGCGCGCCCCTGACGGCGTGGAATTACATGGCACCCCCTCGCGCCCCCGCGCGAACTCCGCCCGTTGGTTGCCCGACCGGCGCCCGCGCCTGCCCCAGCTCACTCGCGCCCGCTAATTACAAGAAAGCGCAGCAAAGCCGTCCGCGCGATTGGCCCCGGCAGGTTTTGGGCACTGGAGCGCGGGCTGAGTCGCGAGCACGCCCGAATCGCGGCGGGCGCCGGCGCGCGATCGCCGCGGCCATGGA